ATTTCCCTCAGCAGCTCCTTACCCATCCATGAAGGTCTCGTGGCCCTCCTGCTCCATTTCCTTCTAGTCAGGATGCAACACTCCTGAGCTTGCAGCAGGTGATCCTTGAATATCAACCAGCAGCCTTGGGCCCCCCTGCCCTCTAGGGCTTTATCCCATGGAACCTTACTAAGCAGGTTCCTGAAGAGGCCAAAGTCTGCTCTCTTGAAGCCCAGGGCAGTGAGCTTGGGACATGCTCTTCTCACTGTCCTGAGGATCTTGAACTCAACCATCTCGTGATCACTACAGCCAAGGCTGCCCTGGAGCGTCACATTTCCAACCAGTCTCTCCCTGTTGGTGAGCACGAGGTCAAGCATGGCACCTCTCCTTGTCGGTTCCTCTATTACTTGCAAGAGGAAGTCACACAATCAAGGAATCTCCTGGATTGCTTGTGCTGGGCTGTCCTGTCCCTCCAACAGGTATCAGGATGGTTGAAGTCCCCCATGAGGACAAGGACCTGTGAGTGTGAGGCTGCTCCTATCTGTCTGTAGAGCGCTTCATCCACTGAGCCCTCCTGATCAGGCAGTCTGTAACAGATCCCCACAGTAATGTCCCCCTTTACTGTTCTCCCTTTGACCTTGACCCACAAGCTCTCTGTTGACTCATCACCCATCCCCAGACAGAGTTCCATACTCTCCAGCCTATCACTGACATAAATATCAACTCTCCCTCCGCATCTGCCTGGCCTGTCTTTTATAAAGAGCCTATAAACCTTCCATTCCAGCACTCCAATCACAGGAGCCATCCCACCATGTTTCTGTGATGCCAATGATATCATACCCCTGTAGCTGTGCACACATCTCTTAATTCCTCGTTTATTCCCCGTACTACAGGCGTTTGTATAGAGGCATCTGAGCTGAGTTCCAGATGAAGCTGACTCATTGGCTGGAGCAGCTGAAATCTCTGCATCACTCCAAGCATTTATTACTCCCCTTTTTGAAGATCACAAGCAAGCTTTTGGACAAGCTAGGTTAGGTGGCAGTTTCATGCTTGAATTTTTTGTATTAGCTGATTTTCAGTGACATGGGCATAGCAGCAGCTCAGACCTTAACTAGAGAGACTGCAAAACGCATTGTTTTTCAGGGTAACAGCCCTGAGTGGTTTCCATGCACCTGAAGTCCGATGTCTCTGCCACTTTATCTTGCTCATATGTCCATAAAAGTCTCCCTGTGCACAGAGTAGGAACACACACTTGTTAAGGAGGGATTGTAGGTTGAGTGGGGAGGGTCCAAAGAGCAGCACTTGTCCTGTAATGTACCAGGCACCCATGAAGTGTCCATCAGTGACCTGTGTCATCCCAGCAGTGAATGCTCTGGTTTTCCCTGTGCTATGTTCTCTCTCTTCAGCTACAAGCCTATAGTAGAATATATCGATGCACAGTTTGAAGCCTACTTGCAAGAAGAGCTGAAGATCAAGCGATCCCTGTTCAATTACCATGACACCAGAATTCACGCGTGCCTGTATTTCATTGCACCAACTGGACACTCATTGAAGTCCCTAGACTTGGTCACCATGAAGAAGCTCGACAGTAAGGTACTTCTTGCCCATGTTATGACCCTTGTTATGACTAATGCTTCTATGATCTTGCCACAGGCTTAGTTAAACCTGCTTAGAAGAGTACTGTCTGTTTTTAGCAGTGGGGAATTGCAGAGGTGCTGTGCGAAAACTTTATCTTGGGCCAGCTGCTAAAATGAGTCATTACTCACTGATCTGTATGCTGCAGAGATTTACTAAGTCTCTTCCACTCCCATCTTGGGTTAGGAAACATGGCCGCTTGCTCCTCAGCTCACAACTGGAAGCTCAGTTGGCTGTTGAAAAAGAGAGAAAAGTGTGTTTTCCTCCCTAAATGCGTAACTAAAAATGAGAGGTTCAAGATGAACTCTGGTACTTCTAGCAACCAAAGATGTGGTTGCCATCTCTGTTTCACTTTGTCCAACAAATCAATTAGGGTCTTGTACAAAACCTGATTTGGTAAGTGCATATGAGATAAGTACATCTAAACCACTTCAGGTCATCTTACTAATCAATGAAAACCAAATCAAAATGCTGTGTCTGGGTGCTCTGACTGCATCCAGCTAGACATGAACAGGGATTTGATATTTCATGGCAAATGTTGTGTTCTAACCGTGATCTGGTAAACAAGAAGAACCTGAATGTTACTTGGCTTGTGTTTTTTCAGTTACAACTAGCAAGAATGAGAACCAAGCTTGGTTTCAACCATGGGGTTGTATTAGATACTTGCAAGAAATTTAATCTCGTTTCTTCTAGGGAAAATAACTGAGGTAGAAAAGCATAACCTGAGTATTCAAACTGAGATTTCCCTGTGCTTCTTGACATCATGATTAAGCAATTTAAATCAGTCCACCTTGCACCTTTAGCTCATTTTATCCTGATTCTGCAGAAGATGAATGATGACAATGGTTCTTTATTTCTTAGAGTGGCCTATCGACTGGGTTTAATGCAGTGATGGAGAAGGATCCCTGCCCTATTCAACTTAAAATAGGGTTATGGAGATTTACCCAAAGCAAGCTAATTGGCATGCATGTTTTATCTTTTGGCAAAGGGAGTTTTAATAACTTCTGGCCATCCTCCAAACAGAATTAAGTGATGTAGCATAGGAGAATTTTCAAGTACTGTAGTTAAAATCCCTTGTCAATATCAACATCTTCCTCACTACCATTTCTGTCTGTTGTTGCAAGGAAAAGCAAACCCTGCAAGATCTAGAGCAGAAATAGACCATTTGGAGTGAGCAGGAAGGGAAAGCAAGCAGGATTCCTTGTCCTAATGCATTCTTGCCTTCTCCATGCAAAGCAGATGCTTGGCTGATGCTCTCTGTGCATCGAGCCATTCGGCTACCTCCCCATGGCTCTTAGAGGCATCCTGCTGCCGGTGTTGCCAACAGCCTGCCTAGGGAAGAGTCAGGAACTTACTTTCCATTTCTGTGTTAACCCCATCATGGCATTCCCGTAGATGGTTGTCTTAGAGCTGTGCAGGGAGAAATGAACCCTCCTCTCACAATACAGCCATGTCTGGGAGCATGTGAGTGTGGGTGGGTGGAGGAAGAGTGCTTGTATTCCTGCCATCCCTCACCCTGTGTGTCGTGTGGTTGGCTGTGGACCATCTGCTTCCATCTCCAGAAGGGGAACAGCAGCACTGCTGCCCACCCAGGTGTCCCTGATAACAACACCTGAGCAAACACCCACGAGAGGCTGTTTGAGTGTGTCTCTTGCAGTAACCCATCCTGCTGCGGTGTGGAGGAGAAGTGCTGAGATGGTAATTTCCTTCTTTGGTTTTTTTTTTCTTCTTTTTGGAACAGCTTGTAATAATCTGTGACGGCATTTCCTGTCCTGCCAATTTGGATGAGGAGGGGAATATAACAAGACAGGAAATAGCATCTTGCCAGATTGTATTTGATTTCTTTTTAAGGCCATCTTCGCAGCTGCCTGAAAAATCCTCTCTGGGGGAGTGGTGTTGTCAGTTGCAGCCCTAGGGTAGATCTTCTGATGGGGGGACAGTGGCTGGTGGTTCTCAGAGGGCTGTTAATGCAGGGTACATGCTGTTCTCTGTCCTCCCCCGGTGACGCACCATGCGCAGGCCTGTATGTGGAGTTGCTGTCTTTGTCTTGCAGGTGAACATCATCCCCATCATTGCTAAGGCAGACACCATTGCAAAAAACGAGTTGCACAAGTTCAAGAGTAAAATCATGAGTGAGCTGGTCAGCAACGGTGTCCAGATCTACCAGTTCCCAACAGATGAAGAGACAGTGGCTGAGATAAATGCAACGATGAGTGTATGTTTCTTAGGGGTGGGGTGTTTTTGTAGAATCACAGAATGGTTTGGGTTGGGAAGGACCTTAAGATCGTCTAGTTCCAACCCCCTGCTGTGGGCAGGGAAGCTTTATGCTTTTGCTTGCCTTGGTTTGTGTGGGCCCATCCTTGATGGTAGGGCGCATTGAACATGTTTCTTTTGGCTTTAAAACTGCAGTCTAAGCACAAAGACCAGGCTGGCCAGAAGGCTTTTAGAGCTGGAGATGCTTGTCACATGTGGGCTGCCTGGCCTGCTATGCTTCATTGTCTGACAAATGATTCTTCTCTGAGCATTTTTTCACATCCTTCCCCTGTTGTAGTATTCCCATCTTGGGAAAGGAAAAGGATGGGAGGCAGGGCCCTGGGTGGTCAGGGCAAAGGACTGGGGTTTGGGTTTCCTGTCCCAAACCACCACTTGTTGCTTAGTGGGGGGTGATTCACCTCTGCCTTTGTTTTGCTTTCCGGTGAGAGCAGTGGCACCGTCAGTGATGTTCCAGCTCCAGCAGGACCACTGGCCATCAGCATAAGGGCTCTGGTGTTTACCTCCTTTCCTTTCCTCTTGCAGTAGAGGTGGGATTTGAGTGCAAACAGGGCTGGGATAAGATCATTTTAATGGAGTTTACAGAGGGGAAACAACTGTTTCCCATGGGCCTGACTTGGAGTGCAAGGAGAAGAACCTGAGCTCAGGGCTTCTGGCAGTGATATCTATCCCAGCAGTGCTTTATAGGGCACTTGGGTGGCTTTAGTAGGGCACATAACACCCAAGACGAGTGCCAACCCTAAGGCAAGTGCAAGCACAGGACTGAATTAACGATGTTTTTACAGGGAATGGAGGCACTAAGATCAAGCCATTTCCTTGTGACTTCGAGGCTTTTGTGGCTGCTTTTTTTTTTTCCCTTGCACAACTGCCTGTAGATGGGCACTTGGCACATTGAGCTGGTTATCAGACCCTCTCCAAACCTTTGTATTGCCTCTTTTCCCTGCCTGTGTTGTGTTCTCAGCAGGGAGCAGCTGGCACAGAGAAGGGATGTGACTGTGCCAGGCTGCACCATGTGTTTTGCCTTCCTGTGGTGCTGTCTGGCTGCAGGGAAACTCCTTTGACGGTTAATAACATCTCTGCCACTCGCTCCTTCCCCTCCCCACCTGGCCTGTGACCATGGATGCAGGGATAGCACCCTGGGTGTGGGCTTGTGGCAGAGGCAAGGTCCCTCCTGGCAGCAGCCACGCAGCTGGGAGCAGATCACAGATTGTCACCACCACACCCCCGGAGAGACTGGGAGCATGCAGAGCTCCATGACTCAGATGTGTCAGCCCACGGCTAGGTCACCTCCACTCTTCCCCTTGCTTGCAGCTTTGCCCTCTTTAGGAGGAAGCACTAGCAGTTATTTCCAGCAGCAGAACCACCCTTAATTTTTAGCCTACCTTCCTTGTGAGAATGTGCTTCATTTTATTCTCTTTTTTTTTTTTTATTGTTGAACAGTTATTTTTTCCTCCGTGCTCAAATTCAGTTCCAGTTTGTAAGCCGCCTTCTGTGCTTAAGACAGTTGTACTTTGTAATTACATGAAAATTGTGTACATCTTGTATTTTTGGGACTTCGGGATTTTGGACTTTTAAGTCTGGTCAGGTTTCTCATCCCAGTTGTCCTGTTGCTCTTTCTAAAGCAGGAGATGAATAGCAAAGGCGTTTAAGCAGCTTAAATCTGGCACAGCTGCCACCGTAAACAGCTTTCTTCCAAAACAATCCCTGACAAGGCAACAAAGGAAATCCCTAACTTTATTGTCGCTTTCCTTTTGTAGGTCCACCTTCCTTTTGCTGTAGTTGGCAGCACTGAAGAAGTGAAGATTGGCAATAAGATGGCAAAAGCCAGGCAGTACCCCTGGGGTGTTGTGCAGGGTATGTTACTGAAAGCATGAATAAGACCCTGTCATCCTGTCTCATTCTGAGGAAAGGTTCCTTGGTCTCTGCATGGTCCTTACTAAACTCTGTCTTGAGAAAGCAAGATCACAGCTTTTAAGACTTCTCTTTAAAATCAGGGCTTTGCAACATAGATCTAGACATGGAGGGGGTCTGGTGGCAGGGTGGTGACGTTAATCAGCTTTGGGAGATGTTAAATGACTAGATTGAAAGATTAAAACTTGCCGTTTTCTGTTCTTTATGCTTTTCTGGCAGCAGGGAAGCATGATCATAGTGAAGGCTGGGGCAGCCGAGTGGTTTGGACCTTGCTCCCAAGCCTGAATGCAAATGTGGTTGGGGATTTTCCAGGGAGGTCAGCAGGTGCTCTGCTGACTGCACTGGCTGCTTGGTGTGTCTTGTCCTGGTATCCTGAATGTAGATGTGCAGCTAAAGTATGCAACCCTCATGAACTCAGACAAAAGCTCCATTCTGTTAGAGAGCAGAGTTTGGCTTGGGCAGTGTTTGCAGCCCAGGCTGTACTGAAGCTGCAGGTGTTTAGATAGGGCTGGTGTTTGCTTTCCCAACCAGCGCTGAGGAGTACAGGGTTTAGCTGGTGGTGGTCAGCTTGTGGTGGTCAGCTTGTGGCTTCAGCCGTGTATCCAGCTGGAGGATGGCCCAGCAAGCTGTAGGGGAACAGCCACAGGCAGCTGCAGACAGACTTCATTGCCTGCCTGGGCCCCCATTGGTGGCTTGGATTTAGAGTGGGTTTGAGTGGGAACTGAAACCCTGTGTACAAATGGATTGTCACCTTGTTGGTGCAGAAATGCGTGGAGAGATGGAAGCTATGATATGAAGGGAAACACAGAGATCTTGCAAAATCAGTGAAAAGCCTTGGACTGGTGCTCATGTGTTGGTGTGGGATGGTTTTGCCCCACTTCAGCGAGGCATTTTGGTGCAAGCTGACTTGGGGTTCTGTTTTTGTACCTGAAGAACTCTTAGCGTTGCTGAAATGGAGCCCCAGGTGCAGGGAAAGGAGGGGGACCTGGCTCCTGGGTTTAACTTCCTCTCTGTCTGCCTTTTTTGCAGTTGAAAATGAAAATCACTGTGACTTTGTAAAGCTGCGGGAGATGCTGATCCGAGTGAACATGGAGGACTTGAGAGAGCAGACGCACACCCGACATTACGAGCTCTACAGGCGCTGCAAGCTGGAGGAGATGGGATTCAAGGACACGGATCCAGACAGCAAGCCTTTCAGGTAGGAAAGCATGAGTCAGGTCTTGTACAACTAGGGAGACTGGAAGTTTTGGGGTTGTGGATGTTTGCAAGAACCAGGGAGGGAATAGCCATGGTCACTTAGAACGGCTGAGATCTATAGTGTGGTTGGGGAGGAGAACTTTGTGCAATTCAATCTTGCCCTCAGGACCTAGGATTTGTACAGAAGCACGGGAAAAGCTTGGGTGGCTGAGAAAGCCAATTCTTGCTTTAACACTTTGCAGCAAGGCTGTACAGGCTTTCTAGAGCCTGCGGAGTGTCACCAGGGTGCTGGAAGGTGATGTGTTTTGAGGGTAGCATGTGACCCACTTGAGATCAGCCTGGAAAGTTTAGGAGGAAGAGGCATATGCCTGCACCCTGCTGCTGAAGTTGTGTCGGTTTCCTGATCATGTTCCCTAACAAGTGCATGCTTTTCAGTCTCTATCTTACCTGTTATCTGTCAGTCAGTACTAAAAAGTGTTGAAAGAATTGATTTCTAAATGCTCTTCCTGTCACTCCTTATGGAGAGCTGTTCACATTGTTGACTTGTCATTTTTTCAAGCTGGGAAAATCCCATATTTGGGGTTGGGAAGTTGATTTTCTTGTTGGTTTTTTTTTTTCTACCCACCCCTGCTTTCTTAAAACCTGTGAACTGTCCAGTCTGCAGTGAAGCTTACACTCATCTTCCTAGTGGTAGTACTATGAGCTTCGTGGAGACCTGGCTTAATCTGTTGAATAATGATTTTGTTAATGACTTCAGAAAATCATCATGACACTTTTTGACCATGTAGAGCACGTGGTGAGGGGATACATTAGTGCCCTTTTCCTACCCTGCAGACTCAACTGTTTTGCAGCCATCTTGCTCTGCTGCAGGTCAGGGCCACGTACAATTGCTGGGCTTGAAAAGTGCAGCTGTATCTATGTGGAGATGGAAGTGTCACATGTTGAGGTATAAATGGTTACCGTGGGGGTATCCTGGGATAAATGTTCTTGTTGACCCTCCCAGAGCTTTTTGTAGCTGGTCCAAGGTGTGCTGTGAAAAGGGTGCTACGGTCTCATGCTCAAGGTTTAGCTTATTACTAAATGCAGAGTTTATGCTGTCAGCTTTATTGGTCTGAAGCCCAAACCATTAGCTGAGGACAACAGCTGTGTGGGAATTTGGGAGGGAGTGTTTGCTTTCTCCTTTAATTTCCTGTTTCCCATTCCTCCCCAGCTTTTCCCCAGTAATTGACCCTACTGCCTTAGCAGCATTCCACAGCTCCAGCAGAAGGCAGTCAGAATTAAATTTATCAGTGTGGATTTATCCCCATAACACATACGTGTCAGGAATTGGTGTGCCAATACCTGAGACAGCAGCCATGCTGATGGCTTCCCCAGGTAACCACGGACATGGTTCATCTCTGATCCTCAACAGGAGAAAGCTAGCTGGCTCCAGAGCAGAAGGCAGAGTGGAGGCCTTGTGTTTATGTTTCTGGGAAACAGTACTCTGTGGTGAGCTGAGCAAGGTCTGCAGTGCAACACAGTTTGCATCAGTTCAGAGTTTTGTTTGTGACTTGCTGAGTTTATGCAGCTGCATTTCTTTGGCAGCACAGAAACTCTGCTGGAGTCAGTCAAGGCCAGTTCTGTTACTAAAGCCCAAGTGTGAGGCTTTATTGGATGTCCTTTCTGGAGAGCAATGGCTTAAGATGGGTTCAGCCCTTCCCTTTGAGGAATCTGAGGAATTTCCATTGCTTCCTGTACATGGGGCCTCTTTTGACTAAGCTATAAGTAGAATGGAAATTAAAATGTACAGAATTTCTCTATCTGGTGTGTGGAGATTGAGAGCAGTTCACTCTGTGTGCCTCTTCCTCCAATAAACAAACAAAACCTGTGATCCCAAGCTGTCTGGCCGAGGCTGATGTATATCTGAAATGAGGAAAACAGGAGGTTTGGTTCTTTCTGATCTTCCTTGTGAGACCAGGGATCAAAGAACGCCTGTCCCCGCAGTCTGGGCCCTAGGAGCCCCAGGGACCACCGCTCTT